ACACTTTGTCCAATACTGCAAAACTGGGGCGTCGGAATAAACAAATGTGCGTCCAGCAGCCTATTAATGCCTCCAGGATTTTCCTTGTGATAACTTTCTTGCAAATGATCAAACTGGTGATGTAGCAGAGCACCGCGATGCGCCCTCTGGGAGCCGATACTCTGCCCTCACGACCATCGATCTCCGCACCCAGAACCGTGGCATGGTGAACCTGCCTCTGTCGCTTTCCGGGGTGTGCTGTAAGTTTCACTTGTTGGTATGCAGCTTCAGCCCTCTCAAAAACCTCCTGGTCACGAGTGCGCTCGAGCACCGGGTCATGGTTTTTCTTGACCACCTGGAGACCAATGTGGTCGTCGATGGTGAGCAGTTCAAAAAATGGTCCTCGAGGACAGGGCTTCCGATATTGCATAACCTCATCTGGTTGCATGCACCCTGCAAGAACATGTAGAAGATTGTAATGGCTCTGCTGTGCAATCTCTACAGCCAATGCGTCCCCCATTGCTAAAGTTGCTAGGCAAATATAACAATCGACATTGAACAACGCTGGTTGGAAACACTGCAAATGTTGAAGCTCTTCACCCCTGAACTTTACTCCAATTGCATTGCGACGGCCTCTGGCTTTCGACACCTTGAAAGTGTAGTAGAATTCGCAGAGGTCGTCAGAGGAGATGAGTAGTTCCTCGTCGTTCTGCAATTGGAGTGAAGTGATTAAATACCCAGGTGCTAGCGTTTTGGTGTACCGTGAATATGTATGGCAGCGGGAGTTAATCACAGTGGGGTTGAGGATGAGCCTGTCCCAATCTGCATCTTTTGGGACTGTGAATAGCCCCACCGTCTCAATCTCAGCGATGTCCGAACACCGACTAATCTGGCAAGCGTGCAAGGCATCCCACTTTTCAGCCAAGCGAAGAATCTCCTGGCGGTCCGCATGAACAATGGCCCGCGGACGTCGGGGCCAGAGATGCGCAGGCTTCCGCATGGAGTCAGGGTTCTGAAAGGCCTCTCGAATGATTGGATCAGTCAGAAAGGGTGAAGGATCAAACGATGGAGCCAATTTCCACTTTATGCGTGATAACTTGAAGTGCAGCTCTGCATAGGAACCCTGACTGGCGGCTGTACCAGACTCTCCGGTCTGTCTTCGAACGAGGGCTCAGGTCGGCCAACTGATGGTGCAGACTTTCTGGGGTTCCCATAAGCATCAAACGAAACACGAAGTGATTCTAAAAACTAGAGATGTCCTGAAAGGAAAGCTCTCGGTGTGAGGTTTTCAAATCAAAAGCTAAAGCGCTTAATTTACTCAACTTCTCCCCTGCCCGACCTAAACTCTCGGTGGTGATCACTCCGGCGCTCATGAAGTAGCTCACAAGCTCCTCCAGATGCTCCAACATCACCAGCTGCTGCTGATTCATAGGTGCTCCCACTCTAGCATGTGCGGGCGGTCGAGCAGCGTGGCCTAATGAAAGCCAGTTCAGCGCGATCACCAGCATCTGTAGGGCAAAAGCTTTGGCTCGCAGGAAACGATGTCTCTTCCTGCGTCGGGGCGACAGTGAGCTGAGCCTGGTCCATCGACCCCATCTCGGGGGGGGGACAAGGCCACATGTCAGACCGACTTGTCATCGGCCTGTCATCGTCGCGGAGTGGTTTCAGACTGAGGCGAGCAAACGATGCTAGGCCTCCTCTGGAGTTGGCCACATGTAATGCAGCCAGAAAAAACTCTATGCACTGAATTGACTCTGGCAGACCCTCTCCAGCCGTGGGAGGTGTCAAGGCAGGGAAGGGCACATCATCCCATTCACTGCGGCCAGAGCGGCTCCTAGGATGCTCCTTGTCACTTCTTGCCCCGGTCACGGAGTTCTGGCTTGGCCGACCCGCCCCCCCGACCGGAAGAAGCGGTGGGAGGACAACTCCCCCGCTCTGAGGTAGAGGAGCTCGGCAAAGGGGCAGGCTGGCTAGCCAGATCTCCCGAGGCTGTACCACGGGGCTTTATGTGGCCGAGGATGACCCCGCATCCTCCTTGCCCTTCCTTTTGGGCTTCCACTTCTTCTTTGGGGCTGCTTCGTCCACATTCTCCTTGACTTGAGGGGGAAGGGCATTGGACGTGTTTGCGGCTTTGATCTTTCCTTCCAGAAAATCTAATTCTCTCATGTATGCCACATTGGCGCTGATCCAGGAAGGTTGAGCAAGTCGTGTGAACGGACTCATCGACTGCCGATGTCTGTTTCTTTGCACCACACTGAAGGCCGGCTCCGGCAATGAGGTCAGCAACCAAGCCAGAGTGGTGCGGCCGTAGTCTATGGCCGACTGATCGATGAACACGAGTCCGCGGCTGCAAAACCCCAGCATCTGCTTGTTCCCTGAGCGGAATGCCACTTCCCAGCCGTTGGCGAACATGTAGGCCATTTGCACGAGCAAGCGTTGGTCGCCAAGAGGAGATCTCTTCTCGATGAAATCTCGCATCAAGCCAGGATGGACACTCAAGGGGTCGACCCCCAGCTCCTGCGCAGCATTCTGCAGTACGATCTCGCCCACTCGCTCGAGATCGGAAGCCACTTTGATGTATGCCTCCCTGGCCAGACACCCCTTGATGCCTCCTCCGCCAGTCGAGGAATCCGATCCCCCGGTTCCCGACAGAGCCTGATGGATGGGATCTGTGGCCTTGACTTGTTGCTGCTTTGCCAACAGGTTCATCTGCTTCATTTGCAGCAGAAGTAGGCGCTGCATGGGATCCACCAAACCGGCCTCCAGCTCCTTGATGCCATCCTCCAACTCCGTTTGTTCGGTGGCCTCCAAGCCTCCTTCCTGCTGCAAAGCCTCCAGGATTTGTTCCGGGCGATTTTCTCGCCACTCCTTCTCGTGCGCACCCAGCCTCATCGGTGCAGCTGCTGCAAGCTGCTGCAACCTCTCTCGAGGGTCGAAGCCCGCAGGGATCTGATAGGGCGCACTGCTGAACAGAACTCCAGTAGGTCGAGGCGGAGGTGGAGGGTGCTGCTGAAGTGGGACTCTCTGCACCCCGAAGCTTTGGTCGCCAGTAATGGGACGATTTTCCAGCTCTGCTAATCGGCGTCGGAGCATCTCCATCTCGCTCTCTGCAGCTGGGCCGCCAACTGGCGACGGTGTGTAGGCCTCGTCTGGAATCAACTCCTCGGGCTCCTCGGCGGTGAGATACTCGGCAGCGGTCTCGCTGTCCATCACCTCGTTGATCCAAGAGACTGCAGCCTCCTCTGTGGATTGCCTGCGCGGGCGACAAGCTTGCCCATCGAAGCCGAAGCGAATCACCTTGTAGAGACTTTGATTCCGCAAGGCATGAGCTCGCATGAACAGGTTGGAATGGCTCCATACACAATCCACCAGCAGACAGGCTCCAAGCCCCAGCAGCCGTCCTCGTGGAGTCTCCATGTCGACCTCGACCGGGTGCACTGCAGCGGCCTCCACACCTTCTTCTGTACCCAGCTCTCTCAGGTAGTCGGCGACCTCTGAGTCGTCCGGAAGACAGACCATGAACCCCCCGGCGCGATGCTTGACCAGATGCCCTAACACTCTCACGCCTCTGCCATCTGTCCTCGGGGGCAAGATCAAAAAGACTCCAGGAAGGGCGCCAACTGCGCCCGGGCCCCCGAACAGTGAGCGAAGGGCGTCCTCGCTCAGGCCTGCTGCTGCAGCAGCGGAGGCCATCCCGTCTCAGCACCGATGCAAAAAGCCTCCGCCTCGGCTTGCGAAGAGAAGGCGTGGCTAATCACTGATGGGTGGAACCTGGTGGAGGTACCACGCACTGCAGACAAATAGAGCTCGTACTTGTCAGTCCAGCCAGGTGAGGAGCCTGGAGCAGCTCGGAGCACCACGTAGACTCTGTTGGCCAGCGGGATGTCGGGCCGTGTGACCCTAGGCACCACTTGACCTCGAAGTTGCAGCCCAGCTAGAACTCCAAGCCTCAGAGCCCGAGCCAATCGTGCCAGCGGAGTCCAACCTCCTGAAGTAGCACGCAACCTGCTCTCCAAATGCTGGACAGAACTAAGGTCCAAACTCTCCAAGGCCGCAGGTGTGTCGGCGGCGATCACCCCAGCCTCCCAACTCGATGAACGGGTCCTGCGAAGTCTCTGTGGAACCTGCTCAGGGACCTCCTCCGTCACTGAAGGAGCTCCGGTGGCCTCTCGGCCTGCGTAGGCACCCAGACGGGGGGGGATCCGTAATCACAGAGAAGGAGCTGAGACTGGCGTCGTCCACAGGCTCTGCACTACCACGTGCGGGGCTGTTCCTCGAAACTCGAATGGTGAGGCCACCCAATGAGACGGTAACCTCGTCGAGGGACTCCTCAAAGCTCATGCACGATCCTCGCGGTACTGCGAGAGGCGTCTCCGAAGTTGCAGGTGCTCGGACTGAACAGTTGCTCCGGGTGTAGGAACAACGGAGGCCAGAGAAGCGCTAGCCACAACCAACAGGCCTCGTCGAAGGCCAGGAGACACCACCAAAAGCGTGCAGCAGCTCCCCAAGCACAGGCCCACCAGAAACAAGCTAAGGCCGATGAGGGCCAGAAGGGACCAGGTCGGTCCTGAACAGCTAGGGCCTGGCGGCCAAAAGAAACGAAGCTCGCGAAGGACGTCAACCGCCCAAGCTAGGTGCATTCGCTGCGAGCCGAGATTCTTGAGCGGTTTCATTCGCTCATGCCGGCAAGTGATAGAGAACATAACTGAATCAACATTGAATATCAATATCTTGGCTCAACTGGTGAGGTGCAAGGGAAGGGCCTGTGCTTTTGCACTGCTCGTATTCCCCCTGGCTTCCGACCCTCCTGAGGCTTACTGTAACTCTTAAGAATGATGGCTAGAGGGACCCCTTGGCAATGATCCAAACCATACTCACACACTCCATGTATGCAATCTTGACATAGATTGGGATGGTTTTAGGGGTGAATATGTAGGGTTTTATTGGGTAAATATGCCAGGATAGATTTTGGTCCAATCCTCAATAAGGAGCCCTCACTGAGCCCAACGCCTCGGACCCGCCTTCTGTCTCAAGGCTTCCTGTTCCGCCGCTGTGCGCACCACTGTGACCACCTCCTTCCGGGCAGTGCCCGGTTGCCGGCCCGGCGCCTGACCGTTGTGCCAGTCTGAGTCCATCGATACATCTAGCAGATCTACCACCTGAGGTAACCGAAACCACACTCCAAATCCAATGGCTTGTTTGCCACAAAGAACGGACCAGAACCCCGACTTGACCTGCCTGCGCGCCCTTCACGAGCTTCGGGACGATCTCGATGCTGGAGTCGATGGGCCCGTCGAAGGGGCATTGCCAGCCGCTGGTGGGAGGACTCTTGGCCTTGGATTTGCTTGGAAAGCCGGGGAAAATCTAGAATCTTCATGAAGCTTCCCCATGCGGGATTTACCATGATGCATCCAGAGAAAATAAACATTCACCCGATCCACCAGGCTGCTGTGGTGTCGGGATGAAAGGCCCAGACCTGCAAGGGCAAGGGTCAGCTGTGCGTGGAAGACTCTCCGCAAAATTGCCGCTTGCGTCCGATTGCAAACGCTGGCAGACTCAACCATTGTCTGCGAACATGATCTTCACACGGAAAAAGAAGAGAATCCAAAAAGAAGAGACAAACTTCACTCAGACCTCTCTGCAAATGTCTCTAACTTTTCCACCCCTATCTCTGCTTGCTGTGCCCCTCCCCGCAACGTCCCGCTTCTCCAAACCTGCGGTGGTCGCCGAGCCTCGTCGCCACCGATCTGGGGGCCGAACCACCAGCCACTGAAGTCCGGGGACTCCTCCCGTCCAGTCGATCCAAGGCGGTCGAGAGGAGAGTGTCTTTCTACGACTCCCAATCAATGGGTAGACTGGTCGATGTTCCGAACCTTCAAGAATTGCTAATTGAATTTAACTTAATTCTTGTTTCTAATAGCTTCTTGTTACTACTAGTAAGGCCCTTGCTCCTAGTAGCGATGCACTTGTTCCTAGTAGCTTATTGTTTCTAGATATACGGTAGACTGGTCGATGTTCCGAACCTTCCAGCGGGTTGGAGGTCTCCCTGCTTCACCGGGAAGATGGTGAACAGGTCTCATTTGTAGGACCATTGAAGCTGGAAACTCCCAGTCAAAGAGTTCAGACGCAACGCCGCGGGCTGAATCTTTAAGAGTTCAGGGGCAAAAGGTTGATTTGGACTCAAAATCCCAGGTGGAGGACGGAATGCCACATGATGACACATCACATGCCACACATATCACATATACATATATCCGAATATCCTTGCGAACCAAAACAAGTGAGTGTGTTGAATGGGGTGTGGACACATACATTCAGGATTCTGAAAACGATTGAATACATCGAATTCAACGAACGAACAACCTGCATTTAGAAAGTATTCAATGTATATGAAAATGTTAGAAATTCAGAAATACTGTTGATTCATGAAATAACTATGGCAAAGGCGTTGAAAGCCGGCCGGCAGCGGGCCCATTGCTGACTGTTATCTATATAAGTTCCTATCGTTAATTGCGTCTGTGGAAAGCTGTCTAGCGCCGGGCTGCAGGGATGTAGCGTACTCCACTGCCAATGCCTCACCAACCGGCCTTGATCAAGAGCCTAAGCAATACAGCCGCCAACCCTAGCGCAATGCTGCATTTTGCTAGCGGCGACAAGGTAGCACCCAATTTGAACACCGGAATTTCAAGCGGTGGCCGACGGGCAGTACTTCTTGTTCACCTCCCCTGAAATATTGGTTTTCAGTTTCAGACCCCACCCGGAAATACCCGGAAGTTACCTTTTTAAGACTTCCGTATGTGTATAAAAATATACAAATGTGTGTATATATATGTATATGATTGTATATGTGTGTATATTGTAATTATATTCAATCTGAACTGACATGTTTGTCTGTGTGTGTTTCGGTTGTCTATACCTATATCACGAAAGCATCCTTGTCGTCCCAGAAGTAGAGCAACACATCCGTGGTGCCTTTGCTTCCCACCTGAGCGGACGGAGCTCGTGCAGCCGCTACAAGTAGCACTCACGAGACTCACAAGCAGTGGCCAGGATCAGGTGTGTCTGGGGGGAACCTTGTGACCTGGCCACTGCAAGTGTGTCAACCCAAAGGATTTTCTTGGAAATTCCGGGGACCGCAAGAGATTCTGTCGTGAAAACCAACCTCCAGGTCAGTGCCCAAAACAACGGGCCTTGAAGATCCAATCCCCACGCTCCGCATCCCCGAGGGGTCTGCTTCACCCCTGCCTTCTCATCTTTTCGGAAGACGGGGCGGTCATGGTTCTTCTCTTGCAGAGTGTAGCTTCCTCTGATGATCGGCCCAACCACGTCATCCTTACATCCAACAATCTGCAGGGCATCGAACGAGCTGGGAGTTGTCTCGACCTTTGCATTCGGTCGCCCTCCCCCTCGCCGGCGGCGCATGGCACAACACAGGCGGGTGCTCTTCAGCAGTGGGGACTCCCCAGAGGTGGGCAAGGTCTTATCATGTCTTTGGGGCTGAAAGGTCTGGCAAAAAAAAGATGTTCCTTGGTTTTGCACCCCCCAAAGAAAAGGAGGAATCAACACCTCTGGTCACCTTCCGAAATTTGGCGAGATTGTGAATTCGTTCAGGTGCCTCCTCTTTCTGATTCTAGCAAACAGAAGCTTCAGTAGTCTTAGAAGTTCTTGATTGCCTTACTTCATGAGCACAGGACCTTGTCTTGGGTGTCTTTCCGTCGTTTTGATCCATGATCAGCTCAGGAGCTCGGAGAAGGCGCGCTGTGGTGATGGCACCAATCGGACATGTGTGAAAAGACTAAGGGTAGCTCCCAAGCAAGGTGAGACTTGAAGTGCTTCCTGCGCTTCCCGCAAAGGAATGCTCAAAACAACTCGTCTTGCAGACCTCCAAGGGCCTAGGGCCTAGGGCTTTTTTGTTTACCTCTCTGTACGTTCGCGTCCATGAGAACCATCCAAAACGAGCCCAGGAGCCGAGTCCAAGGGCTCCGGTCGACTGGGGCTTTATGTGGTAAACACCTGCTCACCAGAGCGAAGAAACGGTGTGATTCTAACAGCCAGTCATTGAAGTCCTGGTTAACCATCAGGAGCCCCAAATTTCCTGCCATGTGGTGATTCTTGGACTCAGCTATGGTAAAACCCTGGCCCATCTGATTGGTTTCACGACTCACGCGTATTCTTTTCACCACTCAGCGACCATGTCGGCTCCTTCCGCGGGCGCAGCGGGCGCCCGTCTCAGGTGGCGTGGTCACATCCAGCGAAAGTAACTGGCGCTCTCGAATGTGGAGCATTCGCTCGTCCTGATGGTCACTGGAATTTTACGGTGTCATGAACCAGTCAATGCGACTATATATCTCCAACAGTCAATAGTCACTGGATGGTCGATGGTCAATGAACCAGGCAATGTGATATCTCCAACAGTTTTCTGAAAGCTGGACTGTTGGGCTACGTCGCCTTTAACCACACCAAATGTCGCCGACACCAAGAGTTCTTCCCGAGTCTGTCGGTCGCCCAGACTCTGGCACGATGGTGTTAAGAAAGCGCCCTCACCAAAAATATACTGTATGATATATGTCTGCCAACTGTTAGCAGCAAGAACAAAACATCAACCGGACACCCTACCGGTCCGAAGGCCGAGTAAAACCTGGTCCGGTGGCCTCATTGACGTTTTTTTGTATGATCAACTCCAGTAAAATCAGGTCTTTGACCCGTAGGGTTTTCTTTTCAGCCAAGCCAATTGAGGTCAATCAACTTGCACCCTTTGGATCCTGGTTCTTACTCCACAGTGTGAATGAGGGTGGCGAAGAAAGGCGGTCGGTGGATCTCAGAGGTCCAGTCAACATCGTCGTCTGTCATCCTGGGACATCATATTGTGTGCCCATGGAGCCAAAGAGAGGCTATTGGCTATTGAAGATTAATGATTGATCCCCTTGCGCAGGGGGCTCAGCCTGCGAAACGAGTTGGAGGGACGAACCAGCATCTTCTCAACTTGTCAAGTCGTCAGATCATCCGAAAACAGCCTCGACACATCACAAAAAGAAGCGCAGTCGCGGAAGCACTACGACAGGAGCACTTCACTTGCTGGCTACCAGTGTTCACCTTGCAAGCGATCTTAATGTCCAGGTGCCTCCGCTCCTGTCGCCCGCCATCGTTCCGCACACCCCCAGCCCTGCACTCGTCACCCATTCGTCTACTCCCCTATGAAGAGGAAGGTGGAATCTGAAAGGCTCAAGCTTCTCTGCTTGCCCCGCCCAACCCTTTTCTAAAAGGAAACTGTGCACTGCAAACAAATCAAACATCGAAATGCAAGCTTCAACTACCAGAGACACCCTATGTTTCACACAGCTCCGTTACAATCTTTCCAGACCTTTGGATTGGAAAATGCTTGCCTAGAAAAATGGTCAGATTCCATATTGCTGCTCCCATGAACAATGCCAGAAACCTCTTCAGGGCAGTTCCAGTTGCAAATAGCTGGGTGGTTGGAGGGGGGTTCCAGTTCCAGATCTAGTTCTGGTTCCGATATTTCCGATGAAATGATTCAAGTACTGAGTGCAGTCGCGGGTATATTATTACTCTTTTTCGGGGGGGGGTCCACTTCAAGTGCACTTCAATAGGTCAATGACGTACATATGTGTTCTTTTTTATCCGCGGCGGAGCGGGCGGTCCAGTTCCAGTTCCGATTCTAGATTGCCGAACGCTTCAATACGTCAATGACGTACATTCTCATACATTCTCTCGTTCAAATCCCCAATTACGTCAACCAACACGCTATTTTTCGGAGGCGGGGGTGTGTTCCACTTCCAGATCCACTTCCGCCTCCGACACCTGTGCGGTGCAATAAATCAATCACATGTACACAATGTGTCTATGTTTTCCCCGAGGGGGGAGTTCCAGTTCCCGTTCCTCTTCCACGGCGGAACACTGCGGTCGGTTGAGAGGTCTGCATCATTCTTTCTTGGGTCCTCTACTATCTCTACTGCTTTGCAAGGTGTTGGTGATTTTCTACCCTCACCAAGACTCCTCTTCTCTTGTCAGTGCGAATGGAAAATGGGCCCCGACCTAGGCGGTCTCGGCGGTTTCCGCAGAGCAACCTTTTTTCTGGCCAGGCCCTGCCTTGAGCAACTTCCGGAGAGCCAACATGCAATGCCTACAGCGATAATTAGGTGGCACGGAATATGCCCGTCACAAAAAACGGTGACCCGTCACAAGAACCGGATGAGAAGGTTTGGCTTGGACGGCTTTGGTGGGGTTTGGTGGGGTGGTTTGCTCCACTGCACAACAACTGGCTGCGTAAAATGACCCCGATGTAACTGGACACCATTGCATGGCCCAAAGTGAGTGCCCTACTGCCCTGCCCCATGTGGTTGTAGTTGCCTCTACTAATATAGGTAACAACCAGAAATTGATCCCTGTAGATTTCAATAAAGGCACATGAAACCTGTAGATGAAGAGGCACGGTCAACTGTTACACTAGAAGGGTTGGTGAACTTAACAGAGTTGTAAGTCAGCGAACTGGCCCCGAGGTTTTGGTTGTAACAGACCACTGTGGCTCCAATCCCAAGCTAAACCCTCCGCAGTGCACCAACATAGATTCACAGACCATGCAAAGCTGAACTGCGAATTCGGTGATGTTCTGAGTACATATATACATATAATATAAGTTGTATACACATACAATCATGCAGTGTTTCCCTCGGGCCCTTGGGGACCTGTGGAACTCTACAAAAAAAAATGTCAATCCCTATTCCCAAAGTATCGATTGAAATACTATACAACATGCTACACGGTGTTGTCTGCATGGTCTACAATTCGCAGGGTTTTTTGCCAACATGCGTTCCTTTTTTTTCTACCATGTTTCCCAGGAACTCCTGCCACTGCGCCCACCCGCACTCGGCTCCCAGCACTTCGTCGCCGGCCTTCACTCGGCGTGTGGTGCCTGCGGTGCCGCGTGGGCGCTGCGGGGCGTGCGGCGTGCAGCCCTGAAGATACCAACTTGCCATTTTGCTGGAAAAGAACGGTGAACCGAAGGATCTCCACCTGTTCTTGTTGAGTGGGGTCCCCAATACCCCCAAAAATGGTTGGGCAGCTTCTCCTCGTACCTCCGGGGGTAGTCTATGGCCCTTTTATGATCCAGCACGCAGCAGGTGCAAGGCCATGGAAGGGTTAGGATCTGCTGGCAAGCCACCATACAAACACAAAAATTCAAATCCTTTTGGTTGGGGGGGGTCCAACGGAAGCAAACACGTCAATGGTTTTCCATTGGGTTTTTGACCAAACCCTTCTCATCTTGGGGTGTGAAAGCCAAAATCCATGGCTAGGAGGTTGAGATCATCGGATGGGAGTCCCGACTTGGCTTGAAGCCAAAAGACACAAGAAGTGGGTGTGAAAGTCAAACAGGGCGACCCTCGTTCGACTTGGGAAAAAAAGGACCTTTCATGACCGTTCAATTTATACAGGGTCCACTCACTGTCGTTTTTTTTTGTGGTCTGTCTGGTGGCAATCCTTCTGGTGGTTCTTGCCGTTGTTGTTTGTATTTGTTGGAGTCGCTAAAGCACAAAACAAAAACTGTCCATTGAACCACACCAACGAGTGCACAGCCGAGCCTTCCACAAACTTCCACGGGCTAAAGTGTGTACGTGGAGGTTCTTATTAACTTCACTGTGCCAATGCAGAGCATGTCGGACATGATGGAAGCCGGTATGGATTAAGCTGAGACACCCTGTATGTGTACGTGTATATGTATAATCCCCCAAGCAGTTTACTGTTGGGGTTCTATCTTAGAAAAAACAGCTGGTCACACTGACTGGCCGCGCCCCTGAACTCTGTGGCCGGCTCTTGTCCTCCTCTTGTCCTTCTCTTGTCCTGCTGTTGTCCTCCTCTTGTCCTTCTCTTGTCCTCTGGCCGCACTGACCAGCCCTGGACACACCTGAACTCTGTGACCGGGTCTTGTCCTCCTCTTGTCTTCTCGTCCTGCTCTTCTCTTGTTTTTGCTTGTGGCCGAACAATTAGCGATGTCGATGCCGACAAAAATCATTGACAATGCAGTTTGCTCTTGGGGGGAAGGTAGGGCGTACCAAGAAATCGTTTTTGGATATTGGTCCAAACCAATCGTTTTGAAACTGTTTCGGGTCTATGCTGGTATAATGGTGTGTCTGTGTCTGTATATATAATGTATCATGGGTCATGAGGACCTATGCAATTGACCAATAGCAATAGATAGATAGGGTCAAAGAAACTGACCGGCATGTGTTGGTCCACATTGCTTTGTGTTGCATCCACAGATCACGCCATAGCAGGACAGCTAGGCTCTTTTGCGCCAACAAAAGCACTGAGCGTCTTCATCTGAGTCCAAGGAGGAGGAATCTTCGCCAGCGAGGCAGGCGTGAAAGGCATGAACCTGAGAGGAGGCATCTGACCTCTCTGCAGATCAGAACACACCAGCCATCAGAGCCTTTGGAAGATACCACCACGATGAACTAGAACTTAGCGGTGCTATCACCAACCCTTCAACACAGGTCCTCTTGCTTTTTACTGGTTTGTCCTCTACTCAATTCCACTCACTCTTTGAGCACCAAGAATCAATCCTATCAAAATATCTTGGCTGAGTATGTTGGACTTCTCAGTGGCGCTCGACCGAATTGGGTGCCACAATACGTTTGTGGAACTGCTCCCAACTACACCTGTCTCCTTTTCAAGTTCTTCAACGGGCCAAACCCATGCTGAAAAAAGAAGAACACGTTAACACATCACGCCACCCCAACCCTCCGAGTCGGTCCCCTTCACAGGCCCTCTTCACAGTGTGATCGCGGTCATGTTCACCAAGCTGCATCAAAGGGAGCATGGGAGCTGAGTCCCAACTCCAGCGCATTCGAGTGGAAGAAACGCTCCAAATCTCCTTGGATCACACGATTTGGTTTCAGGTTTGGGGATGCCTCTGACACTTAGAGGGATCACACTGTTTCAAGCCTCTCTATTCCTGGATCACTTGTTGAAGAGGTTTTACAGTGCGGACTTGTGAATTACCCCACCCCAACCCCAAATGGGGTTCCAGTAGAGGGTGGATCACGGGATCTCACAGCGTCCGCATCTTTTTCATAGCTTTTCCACACCCATCGAAAGGAACCGCTTCCACGCAGGTGAGCCCGCCGATGAGGTGCCTGGATATAAAATGTCGTAAAATGCACCCAAAGAACTGCCGAACAACAGTAAACTAGCATCCAGTGGCTGAGGTCCTCCAGGCTATATACATCTGAGGGAAGTCGTGCAAAACTCATGAATTCAATTCAGATGAAAAACACACTTTCCTGCTCTGAACCACTCAATACTCATGGTAGCTATCAACGCAAACACCTGTCCGTGGCCCCATGCCACCTTTTCAATGATTTATGTTTTGCGCATTCTATGTCCATGAGATCAACCCAGATTTCCGCTCCAGGTCGTACCCCTCCTCCGGAGGTATGCTAGAAGAGAAGGACATCTGAGGGAATTCCATGCTGGCCCCGTCGATGGGCCATGTCGACAAATCACCCTCAGGGGGGGTTCTTTGCAGTGTCCCCTATTCTGTTCCACCCATTTCCACACCTTCCATTCCATGCATCTCAGCATCCCAAGGTGGCCAAGCCATCCCCATCCACGTCAATGACTTGAAAGGCCTGGCTCGCCAAGGCCTGCAACTCCGAACTGGATGAGGATCAGGGCTCGGTCGGAAGTGGATGAGTGCCGAACATGTGTGGGTCAATGGTGGAAAATAGGCAAACCAAAAAATGCCGAAGAAGAATCCTCAAAAGCTGGGCATGTTTTTACTGTTTTTTCCGAGCTGGCAACATCGCAAGTTCACCAACAAGTGGTGTCCTTGCCAGACAATGCTGTTGAGGAAAAAGTGAATGCGTGAAACCTAGAGGACCCATACCCAACACGAGAGTGATTTCTAATGATTTCTAGCTGATGTCGTGACGTTCAAAGGGAACGTTGCAAAATGCAGGTTCTTGGGAGGTAGGGACGTGTCCCATCGGAAGAAATAAATAAATTATATACAACAGAATATACAAATGGATGGCTGGCTGGATGAATGGATAAATGGATGGATGGAGGGATGGACGGACGGACGGACGGATGGAGGGATATTGTTCTGGCCTTTAAGTCCAGCTCTCCAATTAGTGAAGGAGTTGTGTTGGACCTCCGCAGTGCTCAGAGAGGCGCCATCAGACAGGCGTCATAAAGCAGAGACAGCAACGAGACGAAGGACCAGTCGAACCACTTGGTCTTTGGAAGAAGCTTCTGCTACAGTGGCCGAATGTAGCGTGGAATTCAGAGATCAGGATTGGAATAGCGCTGACACACCTAAACTCATCACCTGCCCTACTACCAGAGGCACCCACTTCTTGTCAGCTTTGAATCCATGTCACCTCTGAAACCGTGGTCTCACTGGAAGGGGGAAGACTTCTCAACACCCACTCTTACATGCATGTACTGTAGAGTTCAATAGACACGAACTTGAACTCAGTGCAATGGAACAGTACACATATTACAACATATTACAACCTACAGCTGGAGGTGCGGCAAAGAACCACTCATAAACTGAAGAAAACGAGCTGGAACCTTACTACACCATCCTTCAACCCACTTCCAGTCAGCTTCCTCTCGATCTCAGACCAAAACATCCAACCGCGGCCGGACCGCCTGACCGCTGCCGGACTCATCCAAGGATCGGAGCTGCGAATGCAAACAGGCCGCCAGAAACTCACCTCATCGCACGGGTCACGAGTTGGTCGCGGGGACTTGTTCTCGCGTTTTTGGGTGCCGGAGGCGAGACCTGGCGGGCGGCTGCGATGCCAGGCCAGAGGTCAAATGTATTCAAATGTGCTTCTTCGAGTCTCCAGGGATTGGAGGAGAGTGAAATGATGGCATGGATTTCCAACATCCGAGCATCATGGTAAGCCAGTCGTGTGTTCCTTTGACGCATGGATGCACATGGTGCATTGCACATTCACGTAGCGGACCTATCGTCTGGCGCGGTCTGGTGCTCGCTCGTCTCTCCCGGGGGTCGCAGGCTTGGCGGCATCAATTGACGGATTCTTGTCCCTCAAAGATTTAGATGTACGTGGGCCAATAAACAGAAAGGGCATCCTGATGTAGGAAACACCGGATTTGTCACATCAAGCACTCCAGAGCTTGCCCTGGGGCACTCCAGTGCTTCCCGACAGTCCCACATTGTCCTCAACTCGAAATCGCAGCTGGATGTCTGTCGCCCCTGTTTTCGTCCAAAAGACACCTCCAAAGTCCACCTCAGCCGCCTGGTCTGATCCCCAAAGGGTCAACTTCGAAGGAGCATGAGGTGTTGAAGTCGACCGATTTCGCCCGAACGAAACGAACAGAATGAGCAGCTGTAGTCCAAACGCCCGTCATTGTTCAAGTCGATCTCCTGGGAGGGGCATGACTCGTCCAAGACGCACAAAAGAAAAAACATGGTGTTCATACCCCAAAACCAACCGGGTGAGTTTTCTATCGGTAGATGTTCCGTTCAAACGATAGCTTGACCTGTGGGCCCTCTTGGCCAAGGGCCAACGAGTTTCTCTTGGCCAAGGGCCTTAAGGTCACGTAGAAGTTCACTAAGCCAAGTTTTTCGTTGCTCCAGTCACTGGATAGTGACTTCTCAAAGGAGAGCAAGCTGAGGGATCAAGAAGCATCAAGAAGCTGTCTACTTGCTTGGAAGCAGTTTGGTTTTGATGAGCCAGCTGCGTCCTGATGGATATTGCAGTGCAAAAAAAAGGCGAACTCGTCGTTGTGGCGAGATTGCACGGGAGACCCGATTCTTTGCCGAGCCGTCTGCTTGGGTGATGTTGCAGTTTGATGCAGTTGGTATTGCGGAGGCGATTGGCGGCCCCCATCAACCTTTGATGATGTGTGACGAGCGCCCTTCGACGAAGAAGGCGTTAG